TCCTTATGTGGAATCACAGATCATATCATCTATCTATCTATCTACCGTATGTGTTTTTATGCATTAAGTATGATGTGTGGTGTGTGAACGGTCAAGTCTCAATTATTATTGTTTATAAAGTAATTATGTTGTAATGCTTTTGGGTTTGAGTGGTATTATATATGTTTTAGAGATCGATTTTATTTGAGAACTCTTCTATCTATTTTCTTGTGTGTGTTTTAAACTTTGTTCTAAGATTCTGTATATTATGTAAACTACTTAGAAAATCGTTTAAGCCAGACAACCATTCTCCTCCTTATTAACATAAGGAAGGATTTTTAAATTTTTTCTTTGTATTACGTTTAAGCATACGGTGTCACCTTTTTATTTTTATTTTTATTTTTTACAGTGTCACCGATTCATAGCATCAGATTCTTTATTTTTTATGTGAATTTTTTACATTATCCAGAACTTTTTGGGTATGGATTGTCATACTATGTATTATATCAAACATTGTGCAAAAGTTTTACACAAACAAAGTAATAAAATATATAATATATATTTGTTATACAACATGTGATAGAATAAATGATTGTTTGTGAGACTCACTATAATACCTATTAAACAAACAAACATGGGAAGAGATTTGAATACTTTCTATTATCGGTACTAATTTGTATTGGTGTTGAAAATATAAAAAATACATTTCTTAATATCATGTGTGTGTATATATATATATATACACTTGAAATTCACTATATATGGTTTCCTCATTATATGTGAAGTGATCAGTAGGAAAACATGTGGGTCCACATGCATGGTATTTTGCATCTCCCCCGTGGTCACTACCGTGGTATTGATGTTGGTTTTCGCCGCCGATAATCACATGTTCAAAAAAAATAAAAGATAGTTGAAATATTAAGTAAAAGATACTTACTCGGATCCATAACAAATGTCTCAAAAATATCACTCCGAATTTGACTATACGAGGTCGGATTCATAATTTTATGCTCCATTTGTTATGATGAAAAAATGGATGGATGAAAAATTGAATCTTAGTGCACCAGATCGGATTTATAACAAGTATTTTTTTTAAAAAACACGCGATATTTGACTATAAATTTAAGTTGAATCTTAGTGCACCAAATTGGATCCACAGCAAGTATTTTAAAAAATATCATGTTAAATATTTTAGGGATTAAATTGATAAAATTAATACAATAAAAATTAAAATAATTCAAAATACATAGTTTAGAGACTAAAAAAATATCTATGAGGCCTTAGAAATCAGCTTCTTAATATGGGAGCCATGTGGCGACCCTTTGTGACTCAATGAATTTTAATTCATGTCGTGTGTTTTTATGTAGTATCATTGTTATTCTTGTAGTGTTCAAGACTTACGGAAAAAAAAATCTGTTCATTATATTTTAAGGGTCAAACAGTTTAAACTATTTATTAGGCATATTTAATAATTGTATTAATTTTATAATCGTATCGTGTCGTGTCGTAGTGTATCGTATCGTGTTCGGATCAATAAGTAAAAGTTGACACCCCATATGAGATCGAACACATACGTCACCATCAGTATAGCCCACCAAAATTTATTTCTTCTGCACTGCATTAATTTTTGCATCCAGGAATCAAGTCCTTGATGAATTATATATACTTGAAATTCAAATGTGAAGTGAAGTAGGAAATTCCAATGAGATCGAAATGCATCATGATTTACTAGAAATTTCAATGCTTCAAGTGTTTCAGAATCCTTCAGGTGTTTCAAAATGTTTCAACTAATGGTTTTTAATATTTCAAGATGTTTGTATCAACAATTGTGGCCCAAAGTGAAAAGGGATTGACTTGGTTGGTTCACTTACAGTCTTGCTTGCATATCACCCGCTAACCGATCAGCCATTCTTCTCTTTCCCTTTAGATTGTGGTTCATCCCTTATAGAGATTGCTCCCTCGCTTGCGTACTTGAGCCCACTCTATTCGATGGGCGTTTAGTGAGCCTTCTTTGGTCAAAATGATCTTGAAATGGTTTACTCTTGAGTTTTTAGTTTATGTTGATTAATGGTTGGAAATTATTTGAAAATAAATTTCAAAAAATTGTATCCATTTCTGTACTTTTGAAACTTTTCTATTTTCATCAATATTTTCAAGGCCACCTGCCTAGTCTATCAGGATTGTTTCTATTTGCCATCCGTCCCAAAACAAAATTTTTATCAAAATGCCTCGAAACAAAAATTTTATTCATTTCCAAACAATGTCCCGGCTTAATTTTGGCTCATTACATCAATACATAACTCCGAAAAAAAAACCCTAAAATATTATATTTTCACTCAATATTAGTTTGTCGCACATTGAATAACTTATCTTAGTCCCACCTTATTACATCAATCCCAACTTGAAGCTCATCAGATCAGATCTTTTACCAGTAAACATGAATGCAGGTTGGGGAGAGAGGGGGAAGGACAACTCTTCAATGATAGAAAGAGCTACATGGACGTCATCTCAAATTTTTGAGCAAAACAAGAAACAGGTTGAAGTCGCAAGTTAATTATCACACCATGTTTTTTTATTATTCAGATTCTGATTATTAACTTGTAAAAGCGGAGCCACATAGGGAATCAGGGTGGGCACTTGCCCCCCCCCCCCCCCAAACTTTTGGACCACTTTTGATAAAGACCCATAAAATTATTTAATACATTATATTTTCCACCCTTAAATCTTTGAAAATTTCAATAATGGTTCTAATCTTTCTTTTTTTTTTTTTCAATAAATTACTAGTTCACTAAACATCTAAAATAAATATTTTATTTTTGGATTGAGTCAGTCAGATATAAATATCCTGATCTTTTTGTATATTAATCAACATACAATATTTTTCTTTATCTAATACAATATTCATTACTTTTTAAGAATAATTTTTAGTTTTCATTTACTATTTTTTTTGTAATAGTCGTCTATAACCCAATAAAATACACTTATAGACAAAAGACAAAAGGTTATAATCCAAAAATATTTCAAGCTATTTCAAATAGGGAATTTCTCTATAAAATCAATAATGATCTCAACTAAGTTTTGCAACTTAATAGAGAATAATTTTACTACGGATTTGTGACTGTGCGCATTGATAAAAAATTAGTGAAAAATTAATCTATGTTTAATTCATATACAAAATTTTAGAGATTTTAACAAATGTTATATTTTATTGAAATATATAATTAGGTTAAAATGTACTAAAAAAATTATTTTGTATCTTTTTGTTTGAATTTTGTTTCAACTAAATAAAAATTGAATTTACTATTTTACAATAATTTTGCCTTGATTCTTACTTTGTTGTCATTCTTGAACTTAATTTTTTTGTATCAATTTTGGCTAAATATTTTTTTGTATTAGTTATATTTTGCCTCCTCTCATATATATTTCTGACTCTGCCCTTGTTAACTGGTGTCAAAGGTTCTGCATTCAAATTTCGCTGTCTTTGGACATGCTTATCCCAAAATCTAAATTGTTGAAGCTAAAAGGTCTGGACATAGAGACCCACCAACAATACTACACAGTTTAACAGAGCAATAGGATGATAAAGTTTTGATGCCATTTAGCAACAAAATTTGGAAGAGAGAAGAAAGAGAAATCAGAAACAGAAGGCTATTTTTTACCATCCTTTGTGTTCGTTTTCCTAAACCTTGGTGAGAAGAGGGGCTTATGATTCTTTTTGGCCTATGAACTAAGGTTTAAGATGATAAATCTGGAATTATTCTTCATAAATGCACTTATTCTATTGATTAAAATTCAGAGATAAATGTATTTTCTTGAAAATGAATCTTGGAGAGGGAAAGGGGAAGAAGAGAGGGAGAGAGAATGTGTATGCAAACATGCACCCTCCGCTCCCATGCACCCAATATCTCCAAACCAACTTGCGAGCACCTAATATCAATTAGAAAGGTATTATCCCCTGTTCACTATGCCAAAACAAAAAACAAAATAATTGTTTCCCAAGAAGAGCTGCTTTGGAAGATGCCTAAGCACCCAAATGGCCGTCTAAGTGAACCACACATCTTTCCCTTCACAACAACAATCCAACCTGCCTGTTTGATAAGGTTATAACATTCAGAAGCATAACTAGAGAAAATACCTGAGAGCATAAATGTAGACATATATGCACATCTATCTATAAGAACCATGATCCAAATGGGTTGATTTTCACAATACAAATGATATATTCAGCGCAATTATGAAGATTGCCAACTGAGAGACTCTGGTAGTAGAAGAATAAAACAACAAAGAGAGTACCAGAACAACTGGACATGAGAAAGACTAGCTTTCGAATAGGTCTACTCCAACCCAAGAGTAAGCAGAGTGAAGCCAAGAGGTGGACTACGATTCTGACAATATGTCAAAGCACCATTCCATGATGGAGGGTTTATGGTCGTTCCTGTCTAAAATTTTAGACGCCTTAGCGATGTAGAACAAAAGACAGAAACCTCTAATTCTCATAGTCATCCTCCTAATTAAGTTCCAACGTATACGAATAAGCAATGATTCCTCCATCTCTTGCACATTCAATTGGAATCTTATAGCTTAGTGAAGAATGATGGGTTGATTTGATCACTCTGAAGGCCTACCTATTTTTCTACCAATCTGTCGCTTGCCCCTTTCTCATTAGATTGTCCCTTCTCTCCTAGATTTTACTCATGGCTATAGCCTTGTAGCTTGATTGAAGGGCAGAAATTTACAAAGTGGCATTGCTCCCTTCAAATTTTTCCAGCCTTTCATTATATAATATGGAAAATGCACAAAGGAAGACCCAAAAGAAAGACAAAGCTTTCACCACAGTTTCTCTCAGCAAAAATTTCAACACCAAACTTCACATATTTTCATGAGAGCAGGAGTATATAAAAAATCCATTTCATGGTTCGCTTCCATTTATGTTTGCCAAAATATAGTATCAAAGAAAACATCCATTTTATTAAAATATTTGGTTTTCCAAAGCAGGGAAACAGTCCCCATGTAAAATAATCTTACCATCTCATTTCATCCAAAATTGTCCATACTATGCTTTTGATCTCTTCAAACTTTACATGAGATCGATCTCCAAAATGGAACAAGTTAACCTTGTCCTGCACCATAATCCAACTACAACCTGGACTTTTCTTTATCCCTTTCAATTTCTTAGCTATTCTAACTTGTTCCTCATTCTTCATGTTCCCTAAAACAGAGTAAAGGTTGGACAAAACCACATAAGGAGCCGCATTGTGGGGCTCTAATTCAGAAAGATGTTGAGCTGCAAGTTTAGTAAGGTCAAGCTGCACATGGTTCCTGCTTGCACCAAGAAGAGCACCCCAAACCCCAGAATGGGGCTCCAATGGCATTGAAGTGATAAAATTAATTGCTTGATCCAGCAAACCAGCCCTCCCGAGGAGATCAACCATGCATGCATAGTGATCAGGCCCTGGTTCAATCTTATATGAGTATCTCATGGATTTGAAGTACCTCCATCCTTCTTCTACCATTCCCATATGAGTACAGGCTGAAATAACTCCTAGAAAGGTAATCTCGTTAGGTACCTAGCATTCATCCTGCATCTTTTTAAAAAAATTAAGTGCTTTTTTCCCATGCCCATTTTGGGCAAATCCAGTAATTATCGAGTTAAAAGAAACAACATTTGGGGAAGGGATGGTTTGGAAGGTCTTATAGGCATTATTTACACTTACACACTTCGAATACATCGAGATCAGTGAATTTAGGATAGACAAATCTAGTTCCATATCCATTTTCACAACATGAACATGTACTTGCAAGCCTTGGTTTAATGTAGCCAAACCAGCTGAAGCACTGAGCACACAACTTAGGGTAAGAGGGTTTGGTCTGACCGCTTGCTGAAGCATATCAATGAACCAACAGATAGCCACCTCATATTCTCCATTGGTCACAAACCCTGAAATAAGAGCAGGCCAAGCAACATCATCTTTTCTAGCATCATTTTAAACAACTCAGTGGATTTTCCTGTCATTCCTCTACTAGAAAACCTAGTAATCGTGGTTGTCCAAGAAACTACATCTTTATCTGGTACTTCCTTGAAAAGTTAATAAGCCTCTTCAATTTCTTCCACCTGAACATAACCAGCAATTAGAGAATTCCAAGAAACCACATCTCTCTCCTTCATCGTACAAAATACATTAATAGCCGCATCTATACAACCAAACCTACAATACATACTAAGAACATAATTGCCTAAGAAAAAATCAAACTCAAATCCCATACGCAAAACCAAACCATGCACTTGACACCCTTCTTCATATCTACCGAGTCTTCCACAAGCTTCAAAAATTACGGTCAGTGTATTTGAGACAACCTTTACAACATCTTTTCGCCTCATCTGCACAAACAATCCAAACCCATCTTTAAAACAACCCATTTTCACATAGCCATTAATCATAGCAGTCCAAGTAACCACATTTTTCTCTTCCATCCTATCAAATAACACTCTAGCTTCACCAAGTCTTCCATTTCTACAATACCCATCAACCATTGAGCTCCAAGAAACCACATCTTTCTCCACCATGCCCTCAAAAACCCTAATCGCCTGATCCAATCTCCCCATCTTCAAATACCCATTTAGCAAAGCATTTGAACAAACAGGATCACACCAATTCATAGGCGTCTCAGCATACAGTTCTTCAGCCTTATCAAACTTTCCTATATTAACAAAACTCGTAACCATTGCAGCATAAGACACCTCATTTCGTACTGGCATTTTCAAAAATATTAGGGAAAATGATTTAGACTTTCCTAATAATGAAAATAATAGACATTTTTCTATTGCATATTACACTCGAAAATTGTCAAACGGAGAAACGCATGATAGAAAATGGTTAAAATATTCAAAAGATTTAGATAGAGTATATTGCTTTTGTTGTAAGTTATTCAATTCAAAACCTAGCACAAAGTCAATTAGTTAATGAAGGAACTAAAGATTGAAAAAATCTTAGTTATAAGCTCAAAACTCATGAAATAACTAATGAGCATATCACTAACATGCAATGACACTATCGGCTAAAGAATATTTTAAAATTTAGTATTTTTTTATTTATAGTTGATCTAACTATTTCTTCGATAAAGAGTAGATTTGAAAATTCAAAATATATGAAAATATTTTTGATTTTTTATTTTGTTTTAAAAATTAAATCCTTAGATGATGATAGTTTGAAAAGTTATTGTCTTAACCTTGAAATTTTTTTGAAGCATGACTTATTTTCTGATATTGATGGTTTAGATTTATTTTAAGAATTGATTTTATTAAGAAAAGTCCTACAATTTAAAATTAACACTCCAGTTGAAACCCTAATTAACTTATATAAAACAATTATATTCTTTTTCAAATGTATGTACAACTTTTAGAATATTATTAATAATACTAGTAACAGTTGCCTCGGCGGAGAGAAATGTTTCAAAACTTAAATTAATAAAATTTTATCTCCAATCAACTATGTCACAAGAAAGATTAAATGAATTAGCTATATTATCTATTGAAAAATATATATTAACAAACTTGAATATAAAAATTTAATCAACATTTTTGCATCTCAAAAACTAGAAAAAATAACTTTTAAATGAATATATTTTAATAATTATTGTCTATTAATAAGACTTACCTTCATATTCTTGCATAAGGCCTACAGATTTGTTGGGCCACCCTGTAGGTCGGATCCATAACAATTGTCTCAATAAATATCACTCCGTATTTGACTATACCAGGTCGGATCCATAATCATGGTGCACCAGATTGGATCCATAACAAGTGTTTTTAAAAAAATCACGCCATATTAGACTATGAATTTAAGTTGAATCTTAGTGCACCTTGTTGGATCCATAGCAAGTGCTTTAAAAAAAGGATTAATTACAAAATATCTCATTAAACTATTCATGTTATTTCAATCAGCTCAGTCAGGTTTTAAGTTTAACAATTTATCCCTTTCATTTTCCAGATAGTCTAAATTAACTGAGGAATTGAATGAAAATTATAAAATTACGTTTGTACCCATGGTCTTTGCTAATTATCCGTTTTCTTTCCCCTTTCCTTACCCAACTAGGCTACCAACTCCAACGTTACCAGCAATCACCACCAAACACATTCCACCAACGAAGCCACACCACCTTACGCATCCCTTAGCCATTGACAGCAAACACCAAAGCTACCCCCATATATAAATCCAACAAATTGGCCATTCGTTCTTTTTCATATTTGTCACAGCCACTAGCCACCCAACTACCATCACCCAGCCACCAATTACCCAACTGTGGGCATTCAACCACCACCCACAAGCTACTAAACAATCATAAAGAAAAGTGAAAATGAGAAGAAAAAAAGCCCATTGAAAATTCAACACCTCAACCAAATCCAACCGTCATCTTCGTTTTAAATGCATCACCATCAACTCCGAATCCACCTATTAAACACCCAGCACTGAACAAAACTCCAATTTTTCCATCTCCACCTTGATTCAGAGGTAATCATGAATTGACTTGTGTGTTATCACTAATTCGATGAGGCTGCTCATGATGGTTATTGGTTGATTTGGGTGGCGGGGGGATTGCGGTGGAGCGACGACGACGATGTGGGTGTAGAATTTAGATGGGGTTTGTGGTTGCTGTAGGTGGAGGGCCACCGTCGAGTGACGCGGTAGAGGTTGGTTCTCAGGGGTCAAATTCGATGGCGTTTTGTGGCTGAAGGGGGTGGGGTGGAGGTTGCTGCTCAAGGGCTAGAACTCGACGACTTAGCTGAAGAGGGTGGAGGTTTGTCGGGGTTGATGGTTAGGCCAGTTAGGCCATTGCCTAGGGCCCAAATTGAAAGAAAATTTTGGGGCCAAAATAAAATAAATAATAATATATAATTAAATTTTAAAATATAATTTAAATATTTTATATTTTAATCATTAAATTAATAGTGAGTCTTAATTTTAAATAAAATTTATTATTTATCTAATGTACTTGGTTTTCAAATTAAGTGTAACTAGCATTATTATAAAATTTTTAAAATCTATTTCAAAAAAAATTAGGACCCTAAAGTTCAACTTATTTTTTTATCTCACCCGATATTTATATTATATGTATTATCACTTTGCAGTCTTATTAATAAAATCAATTATTTATCCTGTAATAGGTACGAATAATAATTTTACATTTATATAGGTTAAATTTGAGATTATTTTTTAATAACTTTGTTTACAATACACAAGATTACTATAAAATAGAATGAGTAGAAGTAGTGCACTAACTATCTCAAATTAATTAATCATAGTTGTCTAACTAAATTTTTTTATTTAAAAATAGCTCTTTTGCTCTATGATATCTAATAATGTCTTATTTATCTTAAGACTACTCAACTTGTATAAATTCATATTTTTATATACATTCAAAAAAAAATCATTTTACTAGTCAAACTAATTTTCAATTATGCTTCTCTTTTATCCTAAAAAATTATATGTATTATTGTATTTGATCTCCATATTTGAATTCAATTAACACAATATTTATTTGTAAAATTTGAAGTAGTATGTTATAACTCAAAAGACAAAACAAATAATTTCTAAATAAGTATATTTAATAAGTATTTAATATTACTATTATTACTGAATAAATATTTATAGGGCATCATATAATATTTTAGCATAGCCCCAAATTAGGTTAAGGAAAAGGAAGGGTGGGGATTCATTGTGGTTGCTAGTGAACATATGTAGGTTTGGAGAGAGAGAGAGAGAGCGAGAGAGAGATTGGAGGGTTCATTAATCTTTTTAGAATAAATGTTAGGTCACTTAATATTCATTGCTTAATTTCCGTCATTTTTTACTAGAAGAGTTAACGGTAATGGGCTAATTGAGGTAATATTAAAAGCAAAAGGGGTAAATTATTGAAATTAAAATTTTAGAGGGAGCCAATTGAAACAAGACCAATAATTCTGGGGGCATTTTATAATTAATTCTTAAAAAGGTCACTCAATATTTAACTATAAATTTTAAGTTAAATCTTAGTGTACCAAGTTGAATCTATAACAAGTGTCAAAAATATGACGCGATATTTGATTATAAATTTAAGTTGAATCTTAGTGAATCAAGTTGGATCCTTAGCAAGTGTTTTAAAAAATATCACGTGAAATATTTTAGAGATTAAATTGATAAAATTAATGTAATAAAAATTAAAATAATTTAAAATACATAGTTTAGAGACTAAAAAAATACTATTAACCCAAAATAATATCTGTGAACCCTTAGAAATCAGCTTTTAAATATGGGAGCCATGTGGCGACCTTTTTGTGACTCAATGAGTGTTAATTCATGTCGTGTATTTTTATGTTGTATTATTGTTATTCGTGTTAAGACTTACGGAAAAAAAATTATTTATTATATTTTAAGGGTCAAACAGTTTAAATTATTTATTAAACATATTTAATAATGGTGTTAATTTTATAATCGTGTCGTGGCGTATTGTATCGGATCGTATTTGGATCATTAAGTAAAAATTGACACCCCGTATGAGATCGAACACATACGTCACCATCAGTATAGCCCACCAAAATTTATTTCTTCTGCACTGCATTAATTTTTGCATCCAAGAGTCAAGTCCTTGATGAATTATATATACTTGAAATTCAAATGTGAAGTGAAGCAGGAAATTAATCATGTTGAAACTCATACTTGGCATAGTCCTCGCGGTGGCTGCAACGATTGTAGCTTTGGCTTCTCTGGCCAATGGTGGTGGTGGTGGTGGTGGCAATGGCAGGAGTAAAAAGAAGAAACAAGACATGAGAGACGATGTAGTGGTTATTCTGCAAGCTGCTGCAACTCTAGATGGTGGCGGTTGTGGCGGTGGTGGTGGAAATTGACATGAAATTGCACTTGTGAAATCTTCCTCTTCACATATGTATTGTATGATACATGTGTGAGTAGAATAAACATTTTCAAGTACTAAATATAACGTTGTATGGACCATGTTGTTGCCTTGGCTATCTGTTTTTTGTATTGCATTAAGTTTGAAATGTTGCACCTGAATTCTCTACTATACTCGCTATACTATGTAGTTTTGCTTTGGAATTTGGGTGCTGTTATATGTTTTCAGGATTGTTTCTATCTACCATATGTCTAGTCTATCGAGTTGTGATAAATTATATTAGACTATTAATTGCAAATAGCATTTTCAAATAGCATTTTCCTTATATTAATTGCAGATTATGTGTCTGTGTGCGAGAGGAGAAATCATTTTGAGTAATATTTCGATTGCCTTTTGCAGATGTGTTTTGAACTTTATTTGTATGCTATTTTTCTAGATTATTAGACTATTTATCTAGCAAAAGAAAAATGATTTTGATAGCTAACACAATTTCAAGATTTACAATTCTGTTTTTAAACGGTCGAAACAATTTTATTTCCAATGAGATCGAAATGCATCATGATTTAATTGAAGTTTCAATGCTTCAAGTGTTTCAAAATGTTTCAGGTGTTTCAAAATGTTTCAACTAATATTTCAAGATGTTTGAATCAACAACTAGAGTGAAAAGTGAAAAGGGATTGACTTGATTAGTTCAATAACAGTCTCGCTTGCATATCATCCGCTGGCCAATCAACCACTCTTCTCTTTCCCTTTGGATTGTGGTTCATCCCTCATGGAGATTGCTCCCTCGCTCGCGTACTTGATCCCACTCTATTCGATGGGCGTTCACTGAGCCTACTTTGGTCACAATGATCTTGAAATAATTTACTCCTGAGTTTTTAGTTTATGTTGATTAATAGTTGGAAATAATTTGAAAATAAGATTTAAAAAATTGTATCCATTTCCATACTATTTCTAAAACTTTTCTATTTTCATCAAAATTTTAAGGGCCATCTGCCTAGTCTATCGAGATTGTTTCTATTTGCCATCTGCCTCGAAACAAAAATTTTATCAAAATGCCTTGAAACAAAAAATTTATTCATTTCCAAACAATATCCCGACTTAATTTTGGCTCATTACATCAATACATAACTCCCAGAAAAAAAAACATAAAATATTAAATTTTCACTCAATATTAGTTTGTCGCAGATTGAACAACTTATCTTAGTCCCACCTTAGATCAATCCCAACTCAAAGCTCATCATATCTTTTACCAATAAACATGAATGGAGGTTGGGGAGAGAGAGGAGGGACAACTCTTTAATGATAAAAACAGTTACATGGACGTCATCTGAAATTGCTGAGCAGAACAAGAAACGGTTTGAATTCGCAAATTTATTATCACACTGTGTTTTTTTATTATTCAAATTTTGATTATTAACCGGCAAGAGCGGAGCCACATTGGGACCAGGGTGGGCACTTGCCTCCCCTCCTCCCTCACTTTTGGACCACTTTTAATAAAGACCCATAAAATTATTAACACATTATATTTTCCACCCTTAAATATTTGAGATTTTCAATAAAGGTTCTAGTTTTTTTCTTATTTTCAATAAATTAGTGATCCACTAAACCTCTAAAATAAATATTTTATTTTTGGATTGAGTCAATCAAATATAAATATCCTAATCTTTTTGTATATTAATCAACGGACAATATTTTTCTTTATCTAATACAATATTCATTACTTTTAAAAAATAATTTTTAGCTGGCATTTACTATTTTTTTAGTAATAGTAGTCTATAACCCAATAAAATACAATTGTTGGACATGCTTTCAGTCAATTTTCGTTGTCTTTGGAGATGCTTATCCCAAAATCTAAATTGAAGGGGCATGCTCAATCATTGGTGATTGGTGAAGCTCAAGGGTCTGGACATTGAGACCCACCAACAACACTACATAGTTTAATAGAGTAACAGGCTGACAAAGTTTTGATAGCATTTAGCAACAGAGATTGAAAGAGAGAGGAGAGAGAATCAAAAATTGAAGGTTATTTTTTACCACCCTTTCTGTGTTCATTTTCCTTAACCGTGAGGAGAAAAGGGGTTTATGATTCTTTTTGGCATATGAACTATGGTTTAAGATGATAAATCTGGAAGTATTTCGCATAAATGCACTTATTCTATTGACTAAAATTCAGATATAAATATATTAGCTTGAAAATGAATCTTGGATAGAGAAAGGGGAAGGAGGGAGAAAGTATGTGTATGCAAACCACAAGCTTTGTTCTATTATGTTTAAAGTAAACCAGAGTTTACCATTGCCTGTTAAAATTAAAATTTTCACTTTAATCTCATATATTATAACAAAATGAGATCAACTAGGCTATATAGTGCTTTATAATTGACTCGTGATGCAGTACCACTGTTGTATTAAATATTAATCCAAAGAGACAGGACAAAACGAAGATAGTCATTTGTTTCCTCCATGCCCATGCACCCAATATCTTCTTCTTCTTCTTCTTCTTTCAATAGTAAGAGGTGTCCAAGCAAACTTGCAAGCACCTAATATAAATTAGAAAGGTATTAAACCTCGTTTACTATGCCAAAACAAAAAACAAAATAATCGGTCGCCAAGAAGAGCTGCCTTGGAAGATGCCTAAGCACCCAAATGGCCTTCCAAGCAAACCACACATCGTTCCCTTCACAACAATAATTCAACCTGCTTGTTTGATAAGGTTATAACATGCAGAAGGATAACTGGAGAAAATACATGATAGCATAAATGTACACATATATGTACATCTATCTATAGAACCATGATCCAATTGGGTTGATTTTCACAATACAAATGGTATATTCAGCGCAGTTATGAACATTGCCAACTAAGAGACTCTAGTAGTAGAAAAAGAAAACAACAAAGAGAATACCAGAGCAACTGGACATGAGAAAAACTAGCTTTTGAATAGGCCTACTCCAAGCCGAGAGTAAGCAGAGTGAAGCCAAGAGGTGGACTACGATTCTGACAATATGTCAAACCACCATTCCATGATGGGGGGTTTATGGTCCATCCAGTCTAAAATTTTAGGCGCCTTAGTGTTGTAGAACAAAAGACAGAAACTTCTAATTCTCATAGTCATCGTCCTAATTAAGTTCAAACGTATACGAATAAGCAATGATTCCTCCATCTCTTGCTCACTCAATTGGACTCTTATAGTTTAGGGAAGAATGATGGGTTGGTCTGATCACTCCGAAACCCTACCTATTTTTCTACCAATCTATCGCTTGCCCCTTTCTCATTAGATTGTCCCTTCTCTCCCAGATTTTACTCATGACTATAGCCTCGTAGCTTGATTGAAGGGAAGAAATTTACAAAGTGGCACTACTCCCTTCAAATGTTTCCAGCCTTTCCTTATATAATATGGAAAATGCACAAAGGAAGACCACAAAGAAAGACAAAGCTTTCACCATAGTTTCTCTCAGCAAAAATTTCAACACCAAACTTCACACATTTTCATGAGAGCAGGAGTATATGAAAAATCCATTTCATGGTTGGCTTCCATTTTTGTTTGCCAAAATAGAGTATCGAAGAAAACATCCATTTTATTTAAAATCTTTGGTTTTCCAAAGCAGGGAAACACTCACCATGTACAATAATCTCACCATCTCATTTCATCCAAAATTGTCCATAATGTGCTTTTGATCTCTTCAAACTTTACATGAGATCAGTCTCCTAAAAGGAACAAGTTAACCTTGTCCTACACCATAATCCAATTGCAACTTGGACTTTTCTTCATCCCTTTCAATTTGTTAGCTATTCTAACTTGTTCCTCATCCTTCATGTTCCTTGAAACAGAGTACAGGTTAGACAAAATCACATAAGGAGCCGCATTGTGGGGCTCCAATTTAGAAAGATGTTGAGCTGCAAGTTTAGCAAGGTCAAGTTGCACATGGTTCCTGCTTGCACCAAGAAAAGCACCCCCAGACCCCAAAATGGGGCTCCAATGGCATTGAAGTGATAAAATTAATTGCTTCATCTAGCAAACCAGCCCTCTCGAGGAGATCAACCATGCATGCATAGTGATCAGGCCCTGATTCAATCTTATATAAGTATCTCATGGATTTGAAGTACTTCCATCCTTCTTCTACCATTCCCATATGAGTACAGGCTGAAAGAACACCTAGAAAGGTAATCTCGTTGGGTTCCTGGCATTCGTCATGCATCTTCTTAAAAAAATTAAGTGCTACTTTCCCATGCCCATTTTGGGCAAATCCAGTAATTATTGAGTTAAAAGAAACAACATTTGGGGAAGGGATGGTTTGGAAGGTCTTATAGGCATCATTTACACTTCCACACTTAGAATACATCGAAATTAGTGAATTTTGGATGGACAAATCTAGTTCCATAACCATTTTCACAACATGAGCATGTACTTGCAAGCCTTGGTTTAATGTAGCCAAACCAGCTGAAGCACTGAGCAACCTACTTAGGGTAAGAGGGTTTGGTCTAACCACTTGCTGAAGCATATCAATGAACCAATAGATAGCCTCCTCATATTCTCCATTGTTCACAAACCCTGAAATAAGAGCAGTCCAAGCAACATCATCTTTCTCTTGCATCATTTTAAACAACTTAGTGGATTTCCCTATCATCCCTCTACTAGAAAACCCAATAATCATGGTCGTCCAAGAAACTAGATCTTTATCTGGTACTTCCTTGAAAAGTTTATAAGTCTCTTCAATTTCTTCTGCCTGAGCATAACCAGCAATTAGAGAATTCCAAGAAACCACATATCTCTCCTTCATCATACAAAATACATTATTAGCCGCATCTATACAACCAAACCTACAATACATACTGAGAACAGAATTGCCTAAGAAAAAATCAAACTCAAATCCCATACGCAAAACCAAACCATGCACTTGACACCCTTCTTCATCTCTACCGAGTTTTCCACAAGCTTCAAAAATTACGGTCAGTGTATTCGAAACAACCTTTACAACGTCTTCCCGTCTCATCTACACAAACAATCCAAACCTATCTTCGAAACACCCCATTTTTACATAGCCATTATTCATAGCAGTCCAAGTAACCACATTTTTCTCTTCCATCCTATCAAATAACACTCTAGCTTCACCAAGTCTTCCATTTCTACAGTACCCATCAACCATTGAGCTCCAAGAAACCACATCTTTCTCCACCATGACCTCAAAAACCCTAACTACCTAATCCAATTTCCCTATCTTCAAATACCAATTTATCAAAGCATTTGAACAAACAGGGTCACGCCAATTCATAGGCATCTCAGCATATAGTCCTTCAGCCTTATCAAACTTTCCTATATTAACAAAACCCGTAACCATTGTAGCATAAGACACCTCATTTTGTACCGGAATTTTCAAAAATAAATCAAAAACATCATTAATCCCAACTATGTTTTTTATATAAGCAGTGATCATAGCGTTCCACGAGGCGACACTTTTTTGGGGTATTTCATCGAATACTTTACGGGCCATCTGAATTTGCCCATTCTCAGCATATGCAGTGAGCATTGCGGTCTAAAAGATAACGTTTTTGGTTGGCATGTGATTGAAAATCCACATGGCTTCTTTGATATTGCCGTTTCGGCCATTTTTGGTTGTCTATGAGTTGCAGTAAACAAGCAATTTTGGTAGTTTGCCGGTTGGGTTTTGAGAGGGCTTGAGCAGAGGACGTTGAATACTGAAGAATCAAATATGAAGAATTTGGGTGAGTGAGGCACGTAAAGACCGAAATACAAATTCGCTTTGTTAGCAAACTTGAAGGCAGCAAGAAGGATCCATGTTGTATATATAGATGTGTTGTCAAAATTTATTTAATTATATATTGAATTTTTAGCGAAGTTAGTGAATTCTAATCATCTAATCATTCACATTAATTTTGATGAGTCCAAATCTAAGTGGGTTAAGCCTAATAAATCAAGTAAGCCCGGATCAACTAAATGGTTAGTCAAACCTAGTTCGTGAATTCGACTCAGCCCAAGGTCCAAGGAGTCTAAAAGGATTAGAACACATGGGGAGCAATTATCAAAATACTCACTCTCAAAGATCAAGGGAATATTCAATTGTATTTACATTTTGTAGTTATCCTCTCCTAAAAACTAGTATCTTTACCCTCACGTCACTGTCTCACCCAAGGGCTTCATGCCTATAAATTATAAGCTCTTGGTATATGAGACAATATATCTCTACACCTCTTAGTATCTATACACACCCCTCACATAGCTATTCTCTCTCCTAGCTATCATCCCCTCTTGGAGCTAATCATTGCTCTCTATCTCTCCCGTTCACCTTACTTCATTAATAAAGGTTCTCTGACCATCGGTGTCATTTCTCATAGTGAAGTAGGTCATCTGGACCGAACCATTCTCTGTATGTTGACCCAATATTTACCTTTTTGTCATTGGTTATTTTATTAATTGTCTCATTAATTCTCTACATTACACACTCGATTGTTGATCTTGCATAAGTCTATTTTGTATATCATTAGATTTAAAATATAAGATTTTGTAAATATTTTGATAAACATGCTCACCACGTCCATGCCACCACTACTTTCTAATGTTACATCACCTCACGTTATGTACTAGAGGTGGTTTAAGTCTACTTACCATTTATTTAAGTGAAATTCATTGCATATTCTAAAAAAATGAGATAGGCATAATAGTTTAGTTATATTTTGAATTTTTAATTACTTTTTTTGAGCTGGATTTATTTAAAAAATAAAGTGTCAAACCAAACAAAAAAGAGTAAAGGAATACAACCATTAACTCAATGGCTTAGAATGGATCTTAAAATGGATTAATATTTACATGTTTTTCTAAACAAAACTATCTATTCACAAGAAAAAATTGTTAGTTTAAAATAGATAATACTTTTTAATTATTATTTTTGTGGCAGTAACAACAGTGATGGTTTTCATAGTGTTCATGGTAATAATAGAGGTGGTGAATTTAGTCACCAGTAAAGTGTCTAAGATTAGGAGGACTTAATAATTAATAACATGAATATATAATAGGGGCAAATTTAGTTATTAATGAGGTGGAAATAGAATGAGGTGGACCTAATAGTTTTGATAATAAGAGATTTAATAGAGTAGGGGATAAAATTTTGTGGGGTGGAAGTAACTTTACCCAATGATATAGTGAAAAAAAAATATAATGATAGATATATATTTGGTTTTCAAAAGAGGAAGGTTGTCCGTGGGATGAGTTAGCCCACGGTAGCCTGAACCCCAACCCAAAAGGGCCAGTGTGCCAACCTACGGTTAGGGGTGTTTAAATTTTTGATTAGCTACAATTTCTTACCATACCCGGCCCTAATCGACCCTATTAAATGACTAGCTGAAAAAATGGAATAGGAATGCAGAAGAGTTTTTGATTTTCTAATTAAATCAGGTAGAAAAGTAGAATAGATATTAATTTTCGTATTTCTACCCTACCTTACCCGCATTAATTTATATATATATATAAACTAAAAACTCTAATTCTCTAATCATATTGTTTAAACTTAAAATAATTATTATTGTATTTGTGCAACAATTATGATTAATTGATGTTTATGATTTCTTGTGTTTTATTGTAATTGTTATTGTAGTTATTTTAGGTTTCAGTTTTATTAGTTTATGGTGTTGTTAAATTAGTGCATGTTATTTAATTAAATTGTTAAAATGATCAAAAAATTAATAACTACAAAATTGTTCAGCCGATTTCCTACCCGATTAATTTGGCCTGAGGAATACTACATTTGATCGGGTAGGGTAGGTCAAGAAAAACAATTTCTACAAAATATCGGATAAAAAGACGAAATATCATATTTTCTACTCGTAGATAGGGTGGTGAACACCCCTACCTACAGCTACGAGGAAGAGTCGAATCATCCCAGGCCTTAATGGGTTATGGCATTTGTTGCCCATTCTCTACTCGACTTATTCAGCATCTGAAAAATTAAGGTCTATTTGGTTTACATCTCAAAAAATAGTATCCGAAAATAATTTTTGAGAATAATTTTAAGAAATTGTTTTTGAAAATTTTTAAATTGTAAAACCTATTTGATTATATATTTTTGAAAATAATTTTAAAGAACAAAAAATTGTAAAATCTGTCTAGGTAATAATCCACAAAACCCATAATTGTCATCTCTATCTTTCTTTACTTTCTCTATGTCTTCACAAAATCCACACGCACACAAAATCATAAACACATACACCCCTACCTACGACTACGAGGAAGAGTCAAATCATCCTAGGCCTTAATGGGTTATGGCATTTGTGGCCCATTCTCTACTCTACTTCTTGAGCATCCGAAAAATTAAGGTCATATTTGGTTTGCATCTTAAAAAATAGTATTTGAAAATAATTTTTAAGAATAATTTTAAAAAAGTGTTTTTAAAAATTTTTAAATTGCAAAACCTGTTTGGTTATATATTTTTGAAAATAGTTTTAAAGAACAAAAAATTGTAAAATTTGTTTGGGCAATAATCCGCAAAACCCACAATTGCCATCTCTAACTTTCTTTATCCTCCCTCTATCTTCACAAAACCCACACGCACACAGAAACATAAACACACACACATATACACACATAGATCTAGACCTAGATTCAGATCTACACAGATATGTGCTTCAGATCTATGTAGATATGGACTTTAATTGTTGAGAGAGAGAGAGAGAGAGAGAGATATGAGATGGAGAAATAGGCCCTAAGTGAAGGGCTCCATCTTCGTTGCACATCGATCTTCGATGCTCCATCTTCATTGCACAACGTCGTTGCAGAGAGAATGAAAGAGAGCAGAGAGAGAAGGGGGAGATGGAGATGTTGGAGAAGACGCTGGAAAGAGAGAGGAAGGAAAAAAAAAAGAAGGAAGGAAGCCTTTTGCTACTAAGGGGATTTGAAAGACAAACCTCATTAAAGACCCAAAATTGTATCCATGTCCCAATTGAGGCCTATGGAACATCCCGACCCGACCCAAAAAATATGTCCCGATGTAGGCCTATTGAGTAGCCCGGTCTGTTGGTCATACAAACTTTAAAGAGGTTTTAGGTGTTTGGTAAGAATTGGCGGGTCTTAGGAAATGATTGATTCCCTTTTCTTATATGCATTAGGAATATTTTACATGCATTATCATTTAGGGAAATTTGTGGGTGGGTACATATTTATGAAAATATTCCTCTAAAAGTCCATCATCCAAACTTTTAAGTTATGAAGTATACTGTCTACAAAACATTTTGTTACCAAGTACATTTTTTCAAATTTGAATATTTTTGTAGTACCTAAATGCCTTTTACTTGTTTTATGCAATATTAGTAGTTTCCTTTTGTTTTAAAGATTCTGTTTATATTGACTGATCAAGTTTCCTATTTTAATGGGCAAGTTAGAGTTTGAATTTTAAAAAGATTTCATAAATATATTTTGCCAGTTATCATTTTTTAAATATATTAATTCAAGCTGTAATATTACTTTTACATGTCTTGTAAATTTCAAATCCTACTTTGTTAAATAGCCACCAATACCCCCATTTTTTTGTTCTTCAAAAAGATGTTTCATCAATTCTACGATACCTTCGTAATTCAGGTTCGGGTTTCTTTTTTTTTTTTTTTTTCTGTTTTTAATTACACAATGAATTCTTGTAAAATATGTTTATATAATTATTTCAAGGACCATTTCTTAAACTTCTTCAATTTAGAAGACTACAAATTACCCAAAAAAAATGTATATTGAGTTTTTTGTTTTTTATTCTTCAATTGATTATGTATTCAACTCTATGAATGTTGTTTTGAAACTTTTCATTTATAATTTATGGTTATATAAATTACTTATGCTTTTCATCTGTCATATTTTTGTCAATGGTGTTGTACGTTATTGTTTTTTTTTTCCCTAATTATGAAAACAATGACAAGAAGAACAATGGATGATATAGTGATGACGGTATGTAGGTACGGTAATGAGACATCAATGATCAGATTTTTTGTTGGTTCAACGTAAAGTGACATTGAGCGTCAGATCCGTTACACATGGGAGGGTTTGAGGAATGTTGTTGTTGGCCTGTCATACTCTATACCTGGTCATCTGAATTGCCTTTTGCGCAATGATATTGATCTGAAGAACATGTTTGATTTGGTGAGATGTATTACAGTTAAGTATGTTGATTTGAATGTCATTGTTCGA